GCTGGGATTATAGGCGCCCACCACCATGCCCAGCTAATTTTTGTATTTTTTAGTGGAGACGGGGTTTCACTGTGTTGGTCAGGCTGGTCTAGAACTCCTGACCTCAGGTGATCCACCTGCCTTGGCCTCCCAAAGTGCTGGGATTACAGGTGTGAGCCACCATGCCCGGCCAAGGGGGTAGTTTATAGTGGTTGCTTAAACGTAATTATAAGTCAAGGTAAGAAACTAGTTAATATTGTCACTTCTTGCTTAAGTGGCTATTTCTTCCTAAAACACATAAGCATATGTAAACACATAATGAGTGAGTGTATATAATCGGTCTTCTGGTTACTTTGATAATATAGCCTTTGTATAGATTAGAAAACCTCAACATTGTTAAGTATATATGCTTTCTCTAAATAGATTTTAATTGATGAATTCTAATATTGACTTTTATTTTGGGTGGGGGGAAATCTCATGCAATTTTGATGGAATGGGAATTGATTTTCTTTCCCCTGAGCTCTGGAAAACAATTTGAGATTATCCAGTCTAGGACTAGCTTGATTTCTTCTAACAAAGCAACTTTTTTTTTTTTTTGTCTTTTGTTTTTTCCCTTTTTGTGGAGAACGGGGTCTCACTATATTGCCCAGGCAGGTCTCGAACTCCTGGGCTCAAGCTATCCTCCCGCCTCTGCCTCCCTAAGAGCTGGGATTACAGTCATGAGCCACAGCGCCCTGCTAGCAACTTTTTTTTAATGTGAAAAAATTAATATGAATTGCTTCTTTGTAAAGTGTGGGCTTGTATCATTTTTTAAAAGCTTACCTCTTTCACCATGTTGCCCAGGCTGGTCTTTAACTCCTGAACTCAGGTGACCCACCAGCCAAAGTGCTGGAGTTATAGGAGCGAGCCACTTCGCCTGGCTGTTTTTTTAGTAATAGCCATTCTGACTGGTGTGAGATGGTATCTCATTGCGGTTTTGATTTGCATTTCTCTCATGATTGGTGATGATGAGCATTTTTTCGTATGCTTGTTGGCTGCTTATATGCCTTCTTGTGAGAAGTTTCTGTTTATGTTCTTTGCCCACTTCATGAGGTGATTTCCAATACTTCTTCTTGGTGCCAGAGCTTTCAAGGATACCCTAAGTCAAATTCCAAGATGATTTGGAAGGTGTCCCCATAACCTTCTCAATCAGATTCAGAATTAATCAACTGATGGATTCAGAACAATGTTTCCATTGTCTTGACATTGCTACTTTAATAGAAACTCTAATGTTTACATATTTTGCTCTCTCCTCCTCCAGAGATATGTTCATGCTAAGAAATCTGATGACTTTTCAACAGATCAAAGCTCTTATATGAAGTCAGTTGTCAAAGCTTTTGAAGCTGTGGTAGGCTCAGAAAATCAGTGTAAATAAAATCAAGGTGACTATTTTAAAATAAAGCTTTTCCTGGTATTGCTGGAGGTTGTATTTAGCATTTCTAAAAGATTATTGATGGTAACATCTTACCATCAAACAGAACGAAAGAGCCATGGATCTTTTAGAGTCAGTATTACAAATGGATTTTAAAGTGCATATGTTAAGGGAAGCTCCTGCTTTGTCTGAAGTCTAGAGAATAGATAGGGAGAAAGGGTGAGAGTGTGCATATGCTGCTTTGGAGAAGGAGTCATACAAGTTTTAAACAAACTGATACTCTGGAATCTTTATGATTCCCAAAAGGATTATTTGCCCCTGGACAACCTCCAATTTAGATATAATACTATATGTTGATTATTAGATAAGACAGCCTTAATTTATTAATCCAAAGTTAAGAAAGGCATTTTTTAAAAATAAGGCTTTAGAGGCCAGGCGTGGTGGCTCATGCCTGTAATCCTAACACTTTGGGAGGCCAAGGCGAGTGGATCATGCAGTCAGGAGATTGAGACCATCCTGGTCAACGTGGTGAAACCCCGTCTCTACTAAAATACAAAAAATTAGCCGGGCATGGTGGCAAGTGCCTGTAATCCCAGCTACTCAGGAGGCTGAGGTAGGAGAATTGCCTGAACCCAGGAGGCGGAGGTTGCGGTGAGCCGAGATCGCGCCATTGCACTCCAGCCTGGGTAACAAGAGCGAAACTCCGTCTCAAAAAAAAAAAAAAAAAAAAAAGACTTTAGGAAACAACCCTTTCCCTTTCAGTCTTTTTCGAATTACAAACTATGTTCATAATTATTTTCATTATATTTGGATTGTTTTAAAATCTTAAATCAGTGAATGTTTTTAGGGCATTCTGTGACCTTTAGTTGATTTTTAATTGCAAGGTAGTTCAACCATGAGGGCAGAGGAGAAATGAGGGAGGGTCTGGGTAGGAGGTTGACAAGCCAGAGATGTCCAGTGAATGTCAGAGAGGAGCCTGCCTCTAAAAACCAGTCTCTTGTTTTCAAAAAGGCTTTAAAATGCATTATCAACCTTTCATGATGATTTCTGTAGAAAGATTTTCACTTTCTGCAAATGATCAAAGATGGTAAGAGATGAATTAGAACATGTAATCTCTGCTGAGTACTGTTGCTCACTCTTGTAATCCCAACACTTTCATAGGCCAAGGAGGGAGGATTGCTTGAGGTAAGGAGTTTAGATGAGCCTGAGCAACAGAGACCTGCATCTCTACAAAAAACACAAAAATTAACTTGGCATGGTGGTGTGTACCGGTAGTCCTAGATACTCAGGAGGCTGAGGTGGGTGGTTCACGTGAGCTCAGGATTTGGAGGCTACAGTGAGCTATGATTGCACCAGTGCACTCCAGCCTGGGCAACAGAGCAAAACCCTGTCTCCAAAAGAAAAGAAAAAAAAGAAGAAGAAAAAGAAGAAGAGATATGAAAAGAAAAGAATATACAATCTTTATTTCCCAGCTTTGAATCACGTTTGTTAGTAAATTCAGCTTAGCTGGCTGGATTTCTATTTCTGTATTACTTATTGCTTTATTTTATTTCACTCTAGACCTTTTTGTGGAAGACTTTTTTACCCCACATATCTATGTGACACAGTATGTCATAACCGAAAATAAGAGAAAAGAGTAAAGGAAAGGAAGATAAAATCAGAGGTCAAAGAGAATATATTTGGCTCAGACCCTTTAAGAAGCCAAATTGAAAAGGAGGCATGATCCCTCACGAGAATTACTGTTCATTAGAGAAGAAAAATTCTGCTCCAGAGACACTGAGCTATTTCTGATACTGAGTTCAGTGTTGAATTTCTCCCTTAAGAGTCCAAAAAGGTGCTGTGATACAGGACCACATCCCCACAACATCCCTGATGAAAAGCTAATGCCAGACTGCCTGGGGTGTGGCACAGGAGCTGGCAAGGGGAGCTCAGGGCAATTCCTGCCAGTGTTCCAACTCAAGGGCTGTCAGCCAGGCTCACGGTCTTGGTGCCTGCCGGGTCTCCGTAATAGGGAGGCATCTGAAATCTTCCCAGGAGGCAGGGGATTGCTTCAGGATGGAATAAAGGACACCCAGAGCTTTGCTCACCCTCCTGTAGATCTCCATGAATGTCGTTGTATGGGGGCTCCAGACTCTATTAGGGCATTTGCAGTGAAAAAGAGTCTGTTATTTTCCCATCACGTTCAAGGATACCATGTATCGTCGCCTTTGCACACCCTCTTGCTGCTTGCCAGGTTTTCAAAACTTTCTACCACTTGTTTTCTTGGTTTTAACTAGATACATTTGCCACATATGGTTTTGTTAAATATATTGAGTTTGGGGACTTATATATGCTTTCTATGTAAATGTCAACAAAGGCCCGACACAGTGGCTCATGCCTGGAATCCCAGTGCTGTGAGAGGCCAAGGGCAGAAGGATCACCTGAGCCCGGAAGTTTGAGATCAGCCTGGGAAACACTGTGAGACCTTGTCTCTACAAAAAAATTGTTTCAAAAATTAGCCGGGCACGATGATGTGCGCCTGTAGTCCCAGCTACTCGGGAGGCTGAGGCAGGAGGATTGCTTGGGCCCAGAAGTTTGTGGTTGCAGTGAGCTATGATTATGTCGCGGTACTCCAGCCTGGGCCAGTAGAGTAAAATCCTGTCTTAAAAAAAAAAAAAATGAAAAGAAAAAAGTGAAAAAGCCAGTCAAAAGCTATCATACTGAGAGATCATTGCAGTCTACGGAGTTTTGTAATGCTGGGGTTCAGGGGTTCAGGGGAGCCCTCATTTCCCCTGAGAGGACACATTTCTCCAGGTTCTTGGTCTATCACTCCCCTAAGAATGGGAGAGGAGACCACGGCACAGTGCGCAGTAAATGCCAGACTCAAACGTGTTTGTAGAAAGTGATTTATTTAGGTAAAGAGAGAAAAAGGAGAAAGAGAGAGAAAGAAAGAGCTAACTCTGACACTGAGTGAGAGAATCCAGGCAGATGGAATCCAGGAGAGGAAAGCAGCTTCCACACTGAGTGGAAGGGAATAGAGAGAGATGGAGTTTAGGAGGGGAAGACAGGCTTCCACGAGGGAGTGCGGAAGCGGACTCCAGAGGGGAAATCCAGGAGAGAGAAAGACGGCTTCCACGAAGGCAGTGTTTGTGGAAGGGGACCCAAACATGGAGTCCAAAGGGGTGTGGAAGAAGGGGACTTTTAACCTGGGAGGAAGCCCCACCTTCTGCGAGACCCCAGGCCAAAGAAAGGAGTTCCTTAGAACTTCCGCTGGAGTGATTGACTTTTTGATTCTTCCCGCGCCGGCAAAAATTAAAACGGAGACTGTAAAATCTCCCGAATGGGGAGAGATGGGAGCGGGGTATGGCGCTGGGAAGTTCTTGCCCTTGAAACCACGCCCCCTTGTGGACCCGGAAAGAGAACACATTCCCTCAGTTTGAGTATTAATCCAAAGGTCATTTTATGAGACAAGGTTAACAAGGGACAAGTTCTGTGGGGTGCATGTGGCACTCATGTGTCCTTCTTAAATAATCTGGAGGAGGTGCTAGTGTTGGCGGAACTTAATTCTGCATGAAGATTCAGGTCAGCAGGAAGAGCTCTGCACAGACGCTGGGGAAGCCTGGCTCTTGAAGGTGGTTCTCCCCAGTAACTTGGTCACAGGCTCTAGGAATGAACCATCTGGTATTACTGGGAAAGTAAGCAAGCCAAGGAGAGGTCCCATTCCTTTAGAAATTGTGCTATAGTATGTCAGGATATACCACTGAGTGTTATTCTCCCTTCCCCTTTTTCCTTTGCTAATTTGGTAGGTGAAAGTCCCCCCTCCATTAGACATTGCTCCCCCTCATCATGTATAACTCTCTGCTATTTATCCTAAGTTACTTGTACTCAAGAGCTATGCCAGGTGAATTAGAACAGGACGGTCTCAGGGCATAATATAATTCCCCCAGATTACCACAGGATAAGCCTTGCGCTCTCTTAATACTTAAAAACGTCACTGCTGCTTTGTCTTCATGTAATGGGTGTAAAGGACTGAACACCATGCTTCTCACCGGCGGCTGGAGAAGATATTGCTCCATAGGTAATCGACACGTCTACAAAGTTTTATAAATATATAGATGTAGTCGACACACGGCATGGGTGAAAGAGGACAATGTGACACGCAGTGACTTTTTTGAGCAGATGGTCGCCTATGCTAACAATTTTTCAATCCGATGCCTTCTAGAAATGGATTATAGGTCATATACCTTAGAATAGAGCAAAAACAGCCTTGATATTATTTATGGAGTTCCTTTTCAGTTTGTAAATGTTAGCCAGATATATTTTCAATATTTTGAGACCCTTGAAATAGCTTTTTGCATTAAAGTTATTTAGATGAATACTTAGAATGATTAAATGATATGTAGACAGTGAGAAATCCAGCAATTGTATGTGAAAATGGTCTAATAGTATTCTGTGGTCTTAGGATAAGGTTGTCTGCCTCAGGAGTCATCAAAAGGAAAACTATAAACGCAAAACCATAAGCTCCTGACTGAGGATCAGGATGTTTCTATTACTTTAAAATTACTTTTCTCTCCCCCAATTTGTTTTCGGGCTATTTATTTCAGTTTAAATATCATGCTTAATTTTTGTGAGATATTTAATTTTCTCTTGCAGCTTAGAACAGTGGTGAAGTGGTTGCTAAAGTATAGAAATCTAAAGCACATCAATGGAATTCTGAATTTCTGGGCAACTTCTTGTACTTGGTGAAAGTTACAACTGATGAAAACTCTCGCTGGGAGAAAAATCTAAAGCACTGCGTGTCAAGATGTATTGCTTTTGGCAACTGAATGATTTTGTCCCAACCTTACGGTTGGAACAACAATGTCGCTGCCTTGAGCACAGAAGAACTGACAGTGGTTTATATCAAATCCACATCACGAGAAGAAGGCTTGAGACAGTCAATGCAGCGTGGACTGTGAAATACTTGACCGTTCCAGGCTTCTCCAGGCCTCTTCATTCATTCGTTTATCAACTTACCTAGAACTTGGGGCTCAGGTTTTTGCAATCTAGATACAAATTATGATTCTTTTAGACATACTTTTTATAAGTATTATCCTGTTACCAGGAATTGCCGTAGTAAACAAATACCCAACCCTACCACATCCTGCTTTGCGTATATACTTTATTTCGACAATTGGACTGTTTGCCTTTTCCTCATTTGTTTATTGCAGTAAAATACACATAACATAGAATTGACTATCTCACCATCTTTAGGTATCAGTTCAGTGGAATGGAGTACATTCCCATTGTTGTGTAAGTATCACCACCATCCATCTCCAGGACTTTTTTCATCTGTAAAACCAAACGCTGTGCCCATTAAACACCAGCTCTCCATTCCGGTCTTCTTCCAGCCCGTGCCAACCACAAGTCCACTTTTTGTGTCTAGGATTTTGACCACTCGAAGTACCTCTTATAAGTGGGATCACTTTTTGCTTATTTTACTTAGCACAATGTCCTCAAGCTTCATCCATGTGGAAGCATGTGTCAGAATTTCCTTTCTTTAAAGGCTGAAAAATATTTCATCGCATGTATAGACCACATTTTGCTTATTCATGTATCCATCTGTGAGCACTTGGGTTGCTTCCACATTGTCCTTACTGTGAATACTGCTACTGTAAACATGGGTGTACAAATATATCTTTGAACCCTGCTTTCAATTATTTTGGGCACATATATACGTGAAATTGCTGGATCCGATGATAATTCTCTTTTTAATTTTTTAGAGAACTTTCATTCTGTTTTCCACAGCAGCTGCATCGTTTTATATTCCCACCAACAGTGCACAAAGGGTCCACCCTCTCCACAGCCTAGACAACACGTGTTATTTTCTATTTGCTTTTTCTTTTCACAGAGTCTTGCTCTGCCACCCAAGTTGAAGTGCAGTGGTGCAATCATAGCTCGCTGCAGCCTCAAACTCCTGGGCTCATGTGATCTCTTTGCCTCAGTCTCCTGAGTAGCTTGGACTACAGGTGCACAGTACCACACCTGCCTAATTAAAGTAAATTTTTTTTTGGTAGAGATAGGAGGAGTCTTGCTATATTGTCCAGTCTGTTCTTGAATTCTTAGGTTCAGGTGATTCTCCAGCCTCAGTTTCCCAAAGTGCTGTGGGTGTGTGGTGGTATCTCATTGTGGTTTTGATTTGCATTTCCCTGATTATTAGTTGATGTTGAGCATCTTTTCATGTGCTTTTTGGCCATTTACATGCATATGTTTCTTGGAAAAAGTCTATGCCAGTCCTTTGCCCATTTTAATACCTACTGTGAAATACTTGATCGTTCAAGTATTGTGATGGAGCAAGTCTCTGCCAATTTGTTGTTGTTAATTTTTTAAGGAGTTCTTGGTGTATTCTAGGTATTAATAATCCTTTATCAGATGTGTGATTTGCAAATATTTTCTCCCATTCTGTGGTTGCCTTTTTCCTCTGTTAATAGTGTTAATAGGTGCACAATTTTTTTGAACTTTCATGAAGTCCAATTTGTCTAATTTTCTTTCGTTGACTGTGCCTCTTGTGTCATATCTAAGAAATCATTGCCAAATTCAGTAGATTAAGTTTGTTTTTTACAGTTTAATTTCATCCTTACAACTATGAGATGGATTATTTTTCTTGTTGTGCTATTACGTATAGCAAATGAAACCTACTGAATAAAAGTTGAGTTTGAAGCTGTAGCAATCGTGGTGATTAATCTTAACTTCAGATGGAATTTTATATGTACTTTAACATGAAAAGTCTCCTAGGAAGAAGTATTACCATTTGCTTGAGATATGGTGGAGGGTAAACATGAGCTTTATTGGATTTTTCCTCCCTTGAGTGCTTCATAAATAATAGAAACTCTGTCTTACAAACTAAAATAAAAGTAAAGATAGTAAGTTAATTTCAGATAAAAGTAATATGGAAGGTGAGATAACCATTGTTCTAAGTATGTGCTGTGAATGGGTCATACCTCACAACGATCAAATAGAAATGCGATTTTAAAAAATAAGCTACACATTGGAATGTGTTGTACGTGACTATCATGATGCAATTTAAGCAGCAGTTTATGTGGTCGGTGCTGAGATTGTAGTGTCCATTCCCTGTCCCCATTCCATTTTGAAATTTTTTGTTCTTTACTTTTCTCTTTATAAAATGCTGCATAAAATATTTGTTTATTTTGTTCATTGTCTCTCTTTCCTCCACAAAACGTCAGCTACATGAGGGCAGAAACTGCTCTCTGTTCTGTTCATTGTTGTCGCTCCTGTGCCTGGAAGGGTGCCTGGCGCCCAGTAGGTGATTAGTAAATATCCATTGAGTGATAGAATATTATAAGTAAAATCAGCTCCTTAATTGACACATGCGTTTATTTTTTTGAGATTTAGCATATAAAATAAAGTATATAAATCTAAGGTACATACCTGAATGAATTTTTATATACCTGTGACTAACACCCAAATAAAAATATAGCCTAGTTCCATTTACCCTTTCTAGCTTAGATCTTCTAGATCTCTCTTGCTCCTTTCTAGGCACTCCCCTTCCTGCCAAGTACAATCACTGTTCTGATTTTTCTCATCCATAGATTAGTTTGCTTTTGAACTTCATATAAATGGAATTGTACAATATGCAGTTTTTTGGTCTTGCTTCTTTTGGTCAGCAGATTCAGTCTGTGAGACCAGTGGTGTGTGGTATTCTGCTGCGTGATTGATCCCCATCTGTTTATCCATTCCCCTCCTGACGGACATGTAGGTTGCTTCCATTGTTTTTGCTAACGTCAATTAACGTCTTGTATGAATTTTTGTGGATATAACTTTTATATTTTTTGTTTTTCTTTCTTTCTTTCTTTGAGATGGAGTCTTGCTCTGTTGCCTGGCCTGAGTGTAGCCACATGATCTTGGCTCACTGCAACCTCCGCCTCTCGAGTTCAAATGACTCCCCTGCCTCAGCCTCCCAAGTAGCTGGGACTACAGTGTGTGCCACCATGGCCAGCTAATTTTTGTGTTTTTAGTCTAGACGGGGTTTCACTGTGTTGGCCAGGATGGTCTCAATCTCTTGACCTCGTGATCGGCCCGCCTCGGCCTCCAAAAGTGCTGAGATTACAGGAGTGAGCCACCATACCTGGCCAGACATAACTTTTGATTTACCTTGGATAAAATACCTAGAAGTAGAATTAACTCAATCATAGGGTGGATGTGTACTTAACTTTTAGAAACTGCCAAAGAGTTTTCTTTTCTTTTTTTTTTTTTGAGACGGAGTCTCGCTCTTGCTACCCAGGCTGGAGTGCAATGGCGCGATCTCGGCTCACCGCAACCTCCGTCTCCTGGGTTCAGGCAATTCTCCTGCCTCAGCCTCCTGAGTCGCGGGGATTACAGGCACGCGCCACCATGCCCAGCTAATTTTTTGTATTTTTAGTAGAGACGGGGTTTCACCATGTTGACCAGGATGGTCTTGATCTCTTGACCTCGTGATCCACCCGCCTCGGCCTCCCAAAGTGCTGGGATTACAGGCTTAAGAGTTTTCTAAGTGGCTGAACTACTTTACATTCTCTCCGGAAACTTTTGCACACTCTGGGGAACATAAGGAGTCGTTCTTCCTTTTAAGCCGTACTTATGGGTATGCAGTAATATCTCCTTATAATTTTAATTTGCATTCCCCTAATGAGTATGCATATTGAGCATCTTTTTTTTTTTTTTTTTTTTTTTTTTTTTTTTTTTTTTTG